CGAGGAAAGTTTGAGGCTGATCCTGCATGCGAGGCTCAAAGGGGGTGGGAGGGCGAGGAAGGGTTGAGGCTGAGCCCGGGTGGGAAGCCGAAAGGGGTGGGAGGCGAAGGAAGGGCTGAGGGTGAGCCGGGGTAGGAGGCTTAAAGGGGGTTGGGGGGGCTGAGGAAGTGTTGAGGCTGATCCGGGGTGGGAGGCTGAAGAAGGGTTGAGGTTGAGCTGGGGTGGAAGGCTTAGGGAGGCTCGAGGCTGAATCCCGGGTGCAAAGCCGAAAGGGGTTGGGGAGGCTGAGGAAGTGTTGAGGCTGAGCCACGGTGAGAGTTTGAAAGGGAGTGGGAGGCCGAGGGAGGGTTGAGGCTGAGCTGGGTTTGGAGGCCAGAAGGGGGTGGGAGGCTGAGGAATGGCTGAAGCTGAAGTGGGGTGGGAGGCCAACACGAGGTGGGAGGCCAAGGAAGGGTTGAGTGTGATCTGGGGTGGGAGGCCGTGGAAGGGTTGAAGCTGATCCAGGGTGGGAGGTCGAAAGGTCATGGGAGGCCGAAGAAGAGTTGAGGCTGTGTCAGGGTGGAGGCCAAAAGTGGGTGGTTTGTCAAATATGGTTTGAGGCTGGGTGTGAATGTATTCCAACATGGCTTCTGGGGCCGAAAGCCTTTGGAGGTTGAGATGAAGGGTTGTAATGACGCCATGGTGTTTGGAGTCATGGTGTCAGATCCGAAGGGAGCCGAGGCCATGGTGCAGGAGGCCACAGGAACTGACGCCATGATGCTAGAGGCCATTAAAGCAAATTCCACAGGAGCAAAACGACTGGAGCTAAGGCCATGGAAGATGATGCTATGGAGTTGGAGGCCCTGGGGGATGACTGGCTGTGTGAGAGGAGATGCCGAGAGGGAGCAGGGGGCCAGGAGGATCTTCAGGTTTGTCTTTGGGTTGAGAGAGTGGGAGGTAGAGGAGGTATGGAGGGTGAGAGGCCATGGACTGTGAGTGCCAAGAGAGAGTGGGAGGTGACAAGAGTGTGTGGCTCAGCGGGTGGAGGTTGGGGGGAGGCCCAGCCAGCGGAGACTGCCACTGTCACCGTACCCTGCCAGCAGCTTGCTCGTGGCCAGGGTCTGTGTTTTGTTCTCTGCGCATGTGGGTAAACCTCCATTGCACCGTGGGGTGGTGGCCTTCAGGGCTCACCTATTTGCACCTCAAATACTGTGTGCAGTTCTGGGCCCTTTGCTATGACAAGGTCATTAAGGGGCTGGAGCGTGTCCGGAGAAGGGCAGCGAGGCTGGGGAGGGGTCTGGAGAACAAGTCTGATGAGGAGCGGCTGAGGGAGCTGGGACTGTTCAGTCTGGAGAAGAGGAGGCTGAGGGGAGACCTTCTCACTCTCTACAACTACCTGAAAGGAGGGTGTGGTGAGGTGGGGGTTGGTCTCTTCTCCCCAGTAACCAGTGATAGGACGAGAGGCCATGGCCTCAAGTTGCATCAGGGGAGGTTTAGATTGGATATTAGGGAAAATTTCTTTACTGAAAGAGTGGTCAGACATTGGACCAGGCTGCCCAGGGCAGTGGTGGAGTCCCCATCCCTGGAAGGGTTCAAAAACCTCGTGGATGTGGCACTTCGGGACATGGTTTAGTAGGCGTGGTGGTGTTGGGTTGACGGTTGGACTCGATGATCTCCGAGGTCTTTTCCAACCTTAATGATTCTGTGATTCTATCGCATTCAGAAGACTCATCTGACCACAACGAGATCTCAGTTCTGAAAAGGCGGATTTTCTCCCCTGGGATACAAACGCAGCACGATGCAAAGCTCATCCCTCATGCTACTGTGGGATTAGGACTTTGCTGAACAGAGGGAAGAGATGAAAGGCAATACACAAGGATGAGGGAATTGCAAGGTTGGTTCCTGGAGCAATTCAGGACAGCTAAACCTCGCCCCACGTGCCAGCGGCTGGACCAGCGCACGGGCCCTTAGTCCTCACCTCAAACCATCTCTTGCGCTTTCTCGTTCTAATGGGTTTCATGTGGTCCTAATGCTGTTCTGCTTTGTGACCAGACATCACTCATGGCACTGGCTTTGTCGTGGTCACCCACTGTGTGGTGCCTTCTTTAGTGATAAGAAAACATTGACATTTAAAGAAATACATAATACCGAGGGGACAGAGACTGTTACAATTACCTGCTCGTGCATCCTCTAGCTGTCTACTTTCCCAGCACCAATCTGTGCAGATATTGACTCATATTTATTCTTCCAAGTTTGAAGCTCCAGTTTGAGAAAGTGGAGGGGATAAGCTCCTACCAGGAGCGGTTTCTCACCGAGCAAAAAAATTCCTACACCCTCCTTTAGTGAAAATGAGAACTGCAAGTAACATGTTGAAATCCATATTTTTCCATAGTAGCTTTCAAAGCCAGGTCAGATAAAAATCTTCCCTCAAAGCAGCTGTATCTCCAGCTGGTTCATCACTTTTACCAGCTATTTTGAGTAACCCAGACCAGATGCATGTAAATCCGGTCTTTTAGAAAGTTCTACGCCTTGGATTCCGAGTTTTCACATTTGAACCCAATTCCATCAGGGATTTTGGTGCCTGTCCCAGCTCCTCCCATACAGCGTTCGTGTCCTATCACAAGGCAAAGCCTCGCCATCACCAGTGACCTGTCCTCCCATCCTAAGCAGCGCTGAAAGCTGGCGGGGGAGCTTTCCACATTATGCCTGACCAAATATTCTGTCCTAGAAAGAAACTTCTGTGGCAGTCGGAAAACATGCCACTCCTGAGAGCATGGCAGTGGCATTCAGTGGTCATTGTCACTTCCACAAGTAACTTCTTGGGGCTGAGTCCGTGTCTGAGATGCTTACAGCTCTGCAGATGAGTAGCTCGTGTTACACAGTAGAGTTTTCAAGCAGGTAAAGGTGTGATCTCCATGGGGACCAGTGGGCACCACGGTCTGGTCCTGGCTCTGCAGAGACAAGGCGGCGCTGATGGTGGAACCAGGACGGAAAGCCCGGATGAGACATCACTCCCAATGACTGGGACGCATGGGAGTCTGCAGAGGTCGAGTTGGAGGATGAAGACACTACTAAAAGGGAAGCGACTTCTGTCACCGGGAGCGCACAAGAATAACGAGAATTTCATTTCCTGAGTGGAAGAAAACAGCGTTGTCTGGAACCTACAGCACTGTCTGTAGCCTACAGCCCTCGGGCAAAGATGTGCCAGGTCCGCTGGTCCTGGTGGAAGCCGTTACAGTCACGGGAAACGGAGGGTGAAGCAGCTGTGTTTTGGGGGCAGAGGGAGCATCCCACCTTTCTGATCCTGTGCAGGAACATTCACTATGGTCACACCATGGGCATCTTCTCTTGTGCAGGAGAACATATGATTTTGAAGTGGCCATCCTCAGGGCTGGAAATGGCCCCAGCACTTCCCGTGCTGCATATCCCGGAGTGAGAGGGAGCAGCTCTTTCCCCTATGTGATACGAGGTGCCGTGGCAGGATTTGGTCTCTTGTACAGCAGAGCCGTGTCCGGGGAAGCAGAAGCCGCAGGTTTCCACGGGCTCTGGGACCCTGCCACCAGCGGATCCATCACCAACGCTGCCCGCTTCCACCAGTCGATCTGCAAACAAACTACGCGTGTTAGCTCCAGGGTTGTTAGCAGCCCCATTTACCCAAGGAATGCTCAGCATTGCTGCACTAGGGCCTGTAAAGAGCCAGTCCTGGAACTGGAGAGGACAGCCACCTCCCACCGCTCTGATGAAGCCCACGGCACTGGGTGCCGCATGGAATGCATCACCCATGCCCTCCCGCCTAGTCCTGCCACCCTGGGAGGTGAGATTCGAGGGGGAAACTGGGAAGTGCCTTGAACAGGAACGCTGGAGGTTTAGCACTAAAGCAACTGTACTATAATATGATGTTTAAATTGTCTTTTCATTAAATGCTGCTTTTGTGGCGTATGCAGATGCAATGGTGCAGCGCTGTGCAAGGTGGCAGAGCTCCAGCAGCCGGGCTGCCCGTGGCCAGCTCAAGGGACCCCCAACGCTCCGCAGGCTCTGGCTGTTGAAGGGCTCTGCTCCTTCATCTGAGATCGAGTAAGCAAGGTTAGGCTAGGGGCGTTACAGTAAATCTCTTTGAACCTGGTGGCTTCCCTTAAAAGTGAACGTTCAACGCCACCATGTCCTTCGACCAAAGCAGGTAGGAATGGCTGGAGTTACAGTTCTGGGGGAGAGTGACTCCAAGCGACACAGCAGCTCTGGGGTTTTTCTCTGTTATTTTTGACACCCAGCATGACTGGCTTTGACGTGTACATATGTAAACACGTATGTGTATATGTAAATAGGTAGACAGACCTTTTCATTTTTAAAAGCAGGGGAGGACAGGAGAGGATGAGGGAGAGTAAAAACATCTTTTCTCCATTGGCTTATTCCACGTTATCCTTTCCCTATATTTTCTCCTTAATGCAAGGACTTGTGAAGGCCCTCTGGCTCCAGAGCTAAAACTTTGGCATTTGATGCTGCAAGATAATTCAGCAGACGGCTGCGTCGTTCGCCTGTCTGAAGAAGCAAGCAGCCCATGTTACCATGGTTCTTGCCAGGCAGCGGTTCGCCCCAAAGCAGCCCCGATTGCTGCAATTGTCATGAAAGCCCTGGCTCTCCTTTGGGCGCGTTATGTTCCGCAACTCCTCCTCCTCCTCCTCACGCCTCGGCTGCCCGTCGGTCTCTCGATGGAGACGGGAGAGCTGCTGGCTGATGGTGCAGCTCCAGCCCCAGCAGTGGGAAGCCATGTCTGTGCCTTTGCAAGAGAGCGACTGAGAACAGGGTTACGGTGGAGAGTCGGGGCGCAGGGGTCCAGCCCTTCTCCTCTTCCAGGCTCAGACCACACCGCATTGCGTATCGTTCGCCTTTGCACCCTACCCCTGTTATGAACTGGCTCTGCTTTCTGTCCCTCCCAGTGGTACCTGGGAGACCGTCCACCACGTGCTCCCCATCCTCTCCCAGTCGCCCCAGCACTCACCTTTGGAGGAGTCCTCCCTGCGGTGGCAGGTCCCAGCGCTGGCCTGGCAGGAGACCACCTCTCCCTTCCTCCGCAGGTGGGTCCAGCCCAGGAGCAGGGAGCAGACGAGGGCGCAGAGGCAGAGGCACCGCAGCAGGTACCAC